TTTCATGTACATATGAAAAGAATGTTCTTTTGTTGTTTGAGAGAGTGTTCTTAAAGTGTTAATTAGATTATTTGAGTGATAGTGTTTTTCAAGCATTCTATACACTTATTGATTTTTTTGTTAACTTGTTCAATTGTTGAGAGAAGAGACTTAAATCTTTGACCCTAATTGTGGATTTTTCTTTCTTTCATGTATTTCCAAACTTTGTTTTTAGGTGTATAAAGATTTGGAATTTTTGTGTTCTCTTGATGAATTGGTCTGTTTAGCCAATTATAAATATAAATGATCCTCTTTATCCCTGGTAATATACTTTGTTCTGAAATATGTTTTGTATGATATTAATATGTCTATTATAGCCTTGTTTTAATTATTGTTACCATGATATATCTTTTCCCAGCCTTTTACTTTTAATCTGTAGGTACCTTTATATTTAAAGTGGGATTCATGTACACAGCACATAGCTGGATCTTACTTTTTAAAATCCAATTTGTCATTCTCCACATCATATGTCATCAGGGAAATGCAAATTAAAACAATGAAGTACTACTACACACCTACTAGAATGGCCAAAATCCAGAACACTAGAAATACCAAATGCTGGCTAGGATGTGGAGCAACAGGAACTCACCTTCGTTACTGGTGGAAATGCAAAATCGTACCACTTTGGAAGATTGTTTGGCAGTTTCTTACAAAACTAAACCTACTCTGACCATATGATCCAACAATCGTGCTCCTTGGTATTTACCCAAATGAGTTGAAAATATGGGTCCACACAAAAACCTGCACATGGATGTCTACAGCAGCTTTAGTAATAATTGGCAAAACTTGGAAGCAACCAAAATGCCCTTCAGTAGGTAAATGGATAAACTTCGGCACATCCAGACAATGGAATATTATCTATCACTAAAATAAATGAGCTATCAAGCCATGAAAAGACATGTAGGAACCTTAAATGTGTATTACTCAGTGAAAGAAGCCAATCTGAAAAGGCTACACACTGTATGATTCCAACTATATGACATTCTGGAAAAGGCAAAACTATGGAGACAGTAAAGAGATCAGTGGTTGCCAGCAGTTAGGAGAGAGGGAGAGATGCATATGTGGAGCGCAGAAGATTTTGGCGGTAGTGAAACTAGTGTGTATGATACTGTAATGGTGGATACATGTCATTATATATTTGTCCAAACCCGTAGAATGTACAACACCAACAGTGAACCTTAATGTAAACTGTGGACTCTGGGTGGTAATAATGTGTCAATGTAGGTTCACTGGTTGTAAGAAGTATACCACTGTGGTGCAGGATGTTGACAGTGGGGGAGGCTGTGTCTGTGTTGGGGCAGGAGGTATATGATATCGCTGTGTACTTTCTGCTCAATTTTGCTATGAATCTAAAAAATAAAGTCTATTTAAAAGAAAAAGGAATCCAATTTGTTAATCTCTACCTTTTAATTGGTGCATTTAGACAACTTGTATTTAATATGTTTATTGATATAGTGGATTTAAAGCTGTCATGCTAGTTGTTTTTACTTGGTCATCTGTTGTCTCATTTTTTTTCTCTTTCTAGACTTATTTTAAATTAAATGGGCATTTCATGATTCTATCATCTCCCGTGTAGGCTTATTAGCCATAATTCTTTGGATAGGTACATAAGGGTTCATATTCAACGCTTCTTTACCTTATCACAGTCTACCTTCAGGTAATATTGTACCACTTCACATGTAGATTTAAAATTTCACAACATTATACTTATATTCCTCCCAGTCCTTGTGCTGTAATTGTCTAAGAAATTAATTCCCATAATCTATAACTCCACAATGCATTGTTATGAATTTTTCCTTTACAATGTGTATTAATTTAAGAAATTTTTAAAAATGAGAAAATATATATTTATATCTATACTCATATCTACCGTTTACAGTATTGTTTACTCATTTGTGTAGGCCATATTTTCATCTACTGTCATTTTTCTTGTGCCTGAAGCACATCCTCTAACATTTATTGTTGTGCACATCTACTGATGATGAATTATTTCAACTTCAGTATGTATGAAAAAAGCTTTTATTTCAACATTTTAAAAAGATAATCATTGAGTATAAAATTCTGAGTTGACAGTTATTAATTCTTTCACTATTTTAAAGATGGCATGTCACTTTCTTCTGACTTGCATTGTTTCTGATGACAAGGGTCCTGTAATTCTTATCTTTGGTCCTCAGAATGATTCTCTATTTTTCTGAATTTATACTTGCTTAGGTAAAAGGGTAAATCCCTGAGGGATCAGGCTGAAAAAATTTCATGAATGCACATCATGATTTAGCTGTGCATAGCAACTTAAATACATCTTAAAAGCACACGGGTCAGTGAAAAAAATTTAAAAACCGGGATGGACACTCATAATTCGAGACATGACAGATTAACAGGAACCCGATTTACTCTCCCACCTAAATATCCGTAAATCAAAAATGTTATAAAGCTTTACGTCATGGCACCACAGGCCACACGGGGACAGTGATCCCCGAGAGAAGGGGAACTAAGAAGATGAGCCCTCAGATTTCCCAATTCCTCCAACTTCTTGCCTGGATAGAGTTTACAGGCTGCAGCATAGGGAGACTGAACACAGAGCCCAATGGACAACCTGACTGAGACAAGAGTCGACAATTCCAGAGGTCAATGTGACTAGGATTCGCTGGGAGTAATGGAGGGGAGAGAGCTGCACAGGTCTCCCACCTGGGTGCAGTGTATGAGAAAGGGGGAGTGGTGGTAGTTGACTTCCATTTTCTAGAGTGAGTAGCTGTGTGGATAATGGTGCCATTTATCGAGATTGTGAAGATGGGAGTTTTAGAAACAGGAGAGATGGGGGGTGGGGTGTGAGTGTGTGGGAGGGGTGGGTATATGAAGTGACCGGTTCTAGACAAGCTCACTATGAGGAGCCCTTGAGACATCCAAGTGGAGATGTCATGTAGGCGAGTGAATATATGGATTTGGATCTCAAAGGTGAAGTTCAAACTGGGGTTGTAGATTTTGGAGTTATTAGCATATTAGCATATATAGTTATACAGCATATAGAGAGGCTGATATAAAAACAAAGATGATAAAAGTTCGCATCATAAGAAAAAAATTGTAACTATGAGTGGTGATGGATGTTAACTAGACTTATTGTGGTGATCACTGCACAATATACACAAATATTGAATCATTATGCTGTACGCCTGAAACAAATATAATGTTATATGTCAATTATGTCTCAATTAAAAAAAAGAAAGAGAAAGAAAAAATAAAAATAAAATAAAATAAAAAACAAATATAAAAGTCCGCTATGATTTTTGTAAAAAGCACAAGTTCAATTTGAGACGGGAACATAGCATTTTCTATGAGCATATAGTGGTCTGTCAAGGCCTGCGTTTCAAGGGTCTGGTCGCCTCCCACAGAAACGTTGTTATACAGGAAAGGCTGAAGAGACACAGGCAGCTGACAGGGAAGGTTGCTATGCAACAGCTGTGGAAAGCCATCCAGCCAGTGAGAACTGATATTGGTCACTGGAGAGGAAAAGCTGTGGTCCTAGCAGTAGCTTCCATTCATACACAGGAGTCCTGGAGAGGCTGGATATAAAAACAAATACAAAAGTCCACAATGGTTTTTGTAAAAAGAACAGGTTCAATTGGAGATGGGAACATAGCATTTTCTGCCTCCAGAACAGTTTCTCCAGTCATTCTAGAAGCACAGCAAGCACGTGTTGGGTAGGACCGCAGTAAGTGTTCCTTGTGTTTCCCATTTTGCATATTGAGAAACCAGGCTCAGAGCCGTCCAGTGACCTGAGCAGGCTCACACGGCTAGCGACAGACTGGCCCGGCACTCCTCCCCTGGAATTCTGAAGTCCGGCCCAGCTTCTTTCCGCAAGACCACAGCTGCCCCAGGCCCCGGCCCTGGAAGGAAACCCGGGCTAACATTTACTCTGAATCAGGGCTTGCCATGGCTCAGACACACAAGTGTCTGATTGTCCTGGCCTCTCCAGCGGGCACCAGGAAAGCCTCAGGGGCAGCGTGTTTGTGCCACTCAAGGCAAAGAGGCCAGACAGTCAGAGCAGGGAGTGGACCCCAAGGAGAAATTCCCACACCTAGATGGACCCATGTAGAGTAGTGGCGGGGGGGGGGGCTCTACCTGTGTCCTCCGGGATGCAGAGCAGGAGCTTAGGTCTCAGAGAATGTAAACCTTGCTCGTTTGGGACAGAGGTTGAGGTGGGGGAGGTCTGTCGCTCAAACTGAAGAGGTGAGGGAGCCTCAGTCCCCAGGCCAGCACTAGTGGAACCTGGGTTCTGGAGTCAGGAAGACCCAGGCCCAAATTCTGCATTTTCTGTTTACTGGCTCTGCGGCCTTGTCTAGTTCATGCAATGTGCCTGTGCCTCAGCATGTTAATCTGTAAAACGGGGATGCTGACATTCACCTCCCAGGGCTGCTGTGAGAGGAAGATAAGCCCCAGCACAGATCGCGCCATGGCTTACAAGCTGCATGAAGAGTAGCCAGGGAAGCAGATGTTCCCAGCCTGTCTGGGGGCCATAGAGATGGATAGTGGAGGGGAACACAAAGGGAACTGGCATCCTCTAACCATTTCCATTTCTCTTGTCGAGGTTAGAGACCCAGCCAGAAACCACTGTATTTGTGAGCTGGGGATCATGCTGGGGAAGCAGGGCATAGTGGATTCCAGACCACACTGGAGGAGCTTAGGGGGAAGGGGGAGGCCAGGGCTGAGAAGCACTGTACAAAAGTGGCGGGGTTGAGGATATATGATGGGGTGGGTCGAACTGCACCACAAGGTGTGAGTGCGCGCGCCTGCGGTCGGAGCGCCGGGCGCGAGGGGGCGGGGAGGGGAATCTGGCGGGAAAGAGAAAACGCCCCCCCGTCCCCCCCCCCCCCCCCCGCGCACCCACTCGCGGAATCGCATGCGCACTGGGGACCTGGTGGAAAGGGCTTTTGTTGGGAAAGCGGGCGGGCTGGAGGGGTCCGCGCATGCGCAGGCTGCCCAGCCGCGGGGGCTGCGCGGAGAAAAGGGGCGGGGTGGTCGGAGCTGCTGTGCTGGCAGCAGTAGGCGAGGGCGAGGCTGCGGGGTTCCTGGTGCTGAGGACGGACGCCATTGGAGCCCCAGGGGAGGTAAGGATCCAGCCCCAGACAGGACCTGGAGAGGGCGAGTGGAACCCCGCACGCTGTGCCCTCCCCACCCCCTACGCTCGGAGCTGAACAAAGCCCAAGCACTCAGAACCTGAACCCCATAAGACCCACGGTCTAGATAGGAGACCCCCGCCCCCCACCACCACACCCGGGCTCCCCGATCCGAGCCCTCCTTACACCACAGCCCACGATCCGAATCCCTTTAGCAGACCCGTGTGCTCCATGCTGAGCTTCCTTAGAGCGGAGGCCCCAGCCCCACCCCAACCACTCCTAGATCATGCCAGTCGAGCTGACCGCTTTGCCTCCCTTCCTGGAGTTGCAATCCTGGGATTTGAGACCTCCAGCGCTCCAATTCGAGCCTCACCTAGTCCGAGGCCCCCACCCCATCCACCCCTAGCGCTGCTGTGAGAGCCCAACCTAGATCGGAATCCCCCAAATTCCCCCCACCTGGACCTAGCCAGAGGGTCCCTGGGATTCAGCTTTCCAGAGCTTCCTGTGGTCCCTGTTGTCTGAGCCCTCTCATGTCATCTGCTCCCCCTTCATCCGGGCCCCCTGCTCCTGCCGTTAAATTCAGGCCCTTTGTTTCTGCCTCTCTCAATGCATCATGCCCTTTGGGACTCTTCAGACCCAAGCCCGCCAGTCCACCCCATATTGGAATCTAGCCGCTGGGATGGAGAGCCTGCCCATCCTAAACTCCTCTTTCAGTGCGGGGTCTCCTCGGACCTCCTCTCTCCCTCTCTTAGGGCTCTGTCCCTGACAGAATCTACCCCAACAGACGCCCCCCCCTCCACCCAGCCTTGTACTGCCTGGTAACCTGATGATTGCCGCCCCCCACCTCCAGGGAGTTCCCGCCTCCCACTGGATCCCGCCCCCTCCCCCTGAAGAGGCCTCACCCTCCCTCTCAGGCTGAGCTCTCTTCTCCTTGGGACCTCCAGCATGGCTGAGGGAAGCTACCGCATGGAATCGGACAGCTACAACGTTGAAGACATGGATGAGGGTAGCGATGAAGTCAGGGAGGAAGAGATGGTTGAAGGAAACGTCTATGAAGAATTTGGTGCTTTTGGAGGCTACGGCACCCTCACCAGCTTTGACATCCGAATTCTCAGAGCCTTTGGGAGCTTGGGTCCAGGCCTTCGCATCTTATCGGTGAGGGCCCTTGTTGGCCACCTGCTGGCCCTAGGCTTTCTCTCCTGTGAAGGGGGGGTTGGGGAGAAAGGGGGAGGATGAAAGGGAGGGTTGAGTGGGGAAGAACTGCCCAGTTCCCCATACGTATTCTCTCCTGCTTGGAGAAAGGAGGTTTGGGGGGGTCTGGGGGGTGGTCGGGGCTGGCTGCCCGGAGGAGAAGGCTGGCCAGCACAGGGAAGCATGATGCGAGTGTGTAGAGTTGTCTGCCTTCCCCTACCCTTCTTTCTGGCCTTGCAGAATGAGCCCTGGGAACTGGAAAACCCTATGCTGGCCCGGACTCTGATGGAGGCATTTCAGCTGGATCCGGAAACACTTGCCAATGAGGCGGCCTCCCGTGCTGCCAATGTAGCCCGCGCTGCCGCCTCCAACCGTGCCGCTCGGGCTGCTGCCGCTGCCGCCCGTGCCACCTACAGTCAGGTGGTCGCTAACCACCCGGTGGCCACAGACCAGGCTTCAGGAGAAGATACTCGGCCCATGACACACACGGCCGAGGCTCAGAGAGCCACCTCTGAGACAACCCTTGCTTCTCCACAGAGCTCCCAGATGCTAGTCAACAGTGAGATGGTCGCCCCCGGGGCTCCAGCAACCTCCGCACAGCCCCAGACAGCTTCTCAGGCCCAGGAGGCTGCTACTGAGGGCCCTAGTCCTGCCTGTGCTTTCTCTCAGGCTCCATGTGCCAGTGAGATGGATGCCACCCGGCCCAAGACAGCCTTCCTGGGTCAGAACGATGTCTTTGATTTCACTCAGCCGGCAGGTGTCAGTGGCATGGCCTTCCCACGCCCCAAGAGACCCACCCCGGCCCAGGAGGCTGCCACAGAGGGCCCCAGTGCTGCCTCCGGGGTGCCCCAGGCAGCATCTGCCAGGGAGGGGTCAGCCACCCGGCCCAAGACAACCAAGTCTGGGAAGGCTCTCGCCAAGACTCGGTGGGTGGAGCCCCCGAATGTTGTGGCAGCGCCTGCTGCCAAGGCCAAGATGGCCATGAGCATCCCTCAGGAGCCTGAGGGTGCAGCTGCCACTGCTCAGCACAGTGCTGAGCCCTGGGCCAGGATGGGAGGCAAGAGGACAAAGAAGGTGAGACTCCCCTGCTGTCTCCAACCCCCACTTGCTCTTCTTTTTTCTCTCCCCTCTCCTCCCCTCTGCCTTCCCCACCCCTCCCCTCCCCTCCGCTCCCCCACCTCCCCTCCTCTCCCCTCCTCACCCCTCTTCTTCTCTCAGCTTGTCCACCTTTCTCCAGCACAAGTGTGCTAGCATGTTTTTACTCCACGTAGTCCCTGCCCTCAGGCCTGGAGGGAGAAGAGATTGGCTCAGTGCCTGGCACTTAGTAAGCACTCAGCACGTCATCCACTGTTCATACTACTCTTATTTCCAAGGACCTGCTCTAGTTAAGATGTGTGCCGGGCGCTTTTGCATGGTGAGCCTGGTAGCCCTGGGTCTCTCCTCTCTCTAATGCTACAGTCCAAGCACCTGGATGATGAATATGAGAGCAGCGAGGAGGAGAGAGAGCCTCCTGCAGTCCCACCGACCTGGAGAGCATCGCAGCCCCCACTGGCGGTGCAGGCTCAGATGGCCCCTCGGCCCCCGATGGCCCTGAGGTCCCAGGTACCCTCAAGGCACGTACTGTGCTTGCCACCCCGCAACGTGACCCTTCTGCAAGAGAGGGTAAGAAGTCTGCCCTTCCCCCATCTCCCTCCTCTCCTCCCTTGCGGGCCAGTTCTGTGAGGTCACCCATGCCTTGATCTCCCCGTGTGCTCCTCCTTCTCCAGGCAAATAAATTGGTGAAATATCTGATGATTAAAGACTACAAGAAGATCCCCATCAAGCGCTCAGGTGGGCAACCTGTGCCCCCTCCCTGAGCTCTGCCCTTCCCCCCTCCCCTGACCCCATCCTGTGGGCCTCCCGAATCAGATGCCCCCACCCATCAGACCATGGCTGATCGCTCCATTTGCACAGTACCACGGTACGGGGCCCTGACTGTTCCTCTCAGCAGGGCTGACCGAGGAGCTGCAGCTCTGTGGCCGCTGCTCAGCCCAGGTGCTTTCCTCACCCCTCCCCTCCTGCAGACATGCTGAAGGACGTCATCCGAGAATACGACGAACATTTCCCTGAGATCATTGAACGAGCAACATACACTCTGGAAAAGGTGGGCACGGGGATAGGGGGGCAGCTCTGTGGAACAAGAGTGGCAGGGAAGCCTTGCACCCTGCAGCCCCTCCAGGGAAGCCTTGCACCCTGCAGTCAGTCCCTCGAGGCCCAGTTTCAGTACTGCCTGCTCTGGAAGCGTTTCCTAGCCTCTCCAGCTGGGAGCTTCCACTGCATACTTCCTTCCCTCAGTTCCTCTCCCTCTTCCTTCCCTCTCCCTCCCTCTCCCACACACGCTCTCTGACTGTGTCTGTTGTCTCGTGAAGTGGGTCCTGTTGCCTCAGCCGGTGCCAGAGGTCCCACAGGGCAGTTCCTCTGCGTCCTCTCTTCTTCCATCCTCCCCCATGACTTTGGGTTCCCTGCTGAGGAAAAGTTCTAAAAGGGAATTGAGTGACTGCCTGCAGGACACCCAGCATGGATTTTTGATCTCACATTCTGTTTTCTCCCCCATGTAGAAGTTTGGGATCCACCTGAAGGAAATTGACAAGGAAGAACACCTGTACATTCTTGTCTGCACACGGGATTCTTCAGCTCGCCTCCTGGGAAAGTGAGAAAGGGCAGGAGGGTTGTGGCCTTCCTCGGTGGTGCCACGCCCCTCCCCTCTGACACTCCCCTCTGAGAAACAGGAAAACAGGGCTGGAGGGCCTAGCACAGACCCCACTCACAGTTAGAGGTGCCGAGTGATTAAGGGATGAAAGGGGTAGTAACGTGGGGCAAGGCCTTGCTGCGATCAGGGTTTCACTCCGTCCTCCCCCCTGCCGCCCCCCAGTCTTCCTGGGAAAGCAGGCTTCTTGTTGCTTGCCTCTCCCTGCCAAGTGCTTGGCCGTGGCTTGCCAGAGTGGTCCTGGGGGGGACTTCCTGTC